TACTTAAGAAATGGCTGCTGGAACGGATTAATTTCGTAAGTAGAGGTTTCACTGTATAGGTAAGCAAGAGTATAAGGCCTTGCCAGGGAGAAGGAACCTTTGCTTCAAGGGATGACTCATGAACAACCTCTGTCCCTCACCTGTAAAGCACTCAAGGTGTTCAGAGCTATCAAACCCATCCATAGACATACAGCTTCTCTTCCTCTCCCTGAAATATAAGAAAACGCTGTGCTCAAGAAACTACTGAACTCTGTAGATAGTACTGCACATTTCCCACAAAGCTCCAAATATATGCATCTCTTGGTTGTCAACCCAGGTGATCTCCCATCATGCATTAAGAAAGGCAAGGAAAGCCATTGGGGAAGGATGAACATGACATACTCCAGCTATTGGTATTGTTGGCCAAACATTCTGACTTGTTCTCACTTCAGGATTCCAGCTGAGACATATGGACCAGAATCACCAGTCCTTGCAGACAGAGTTGCAATGTATTCTTTTTCTGGACCAACACAGCTTGTCTAAATGACAACATTAAGTCCATATTCACTGAATGCCATAACATCAGTATCAAGGGAAATATCAAGTGAGTACTGACTCAATGGGAAGGTGGGGAAGGGAACTTTGAACTGCAAAATTGAAGGGGCTCCTGTTCAAGTATGTCCATATCAACTCACTACTAAGCACAGAGAATGCCTTTTGCAGCCTCTGCCAATGGGGTAGGATGGATTTTGAAATGAGGTTGTTCATCATGACAGGCCTAATAGCTCCAACACCAGGGAAAATCCAAACAAATATCAATCCATGTTTATTCATGTGGGCATGCTATACATGTGTCTACATCTCAAAATAATATATTTTTGTTGGGAAAATCCTCTTCATTCTCTGCTGCTCAACTACTCGGAGGACTACAGCTAAGCTCAGAGTGAACAGGAGACAGTGAGGAGATTGATTAGCATCCCTGCTAACCAAAATGTCTCAATACTTCTGCCCTGTGAACACGAGGGCTCCACTACAGCACTGGCCATTCATTACCCATGATGCAACACTATCATCACATAAGTATTGCCACTCCACAGGCAATTGGCAATCATCCAACAGACACAGCAGTGGTGTGCAAACAACAAGTGAAACATAGGACCTTATCACACGTGAGCCACAAAGCGATAAGAAAGAGAAATAAGAATAAATCCAGGACTAAACCAAAAGGAAACCCACAATACGTAAATGGCTATCAGACGCAACTAGCATCATCGCGCAATTAAGGAAAGCACGATGAAGCGCTCCTGGGAACCGTATTTGCTGTTCGCACACAATTGAGAAAATCCCGGACATAATCAAGCAATGATGCCCTGCACATGCTCAGTACAGCTGCGGCTGTCACTTGCTGCGGCTGTCAAACACACCTCTTCCCAAGCTGGTTGTCCCCCAAACCCCTTCCCAAGCCGGCACAGGGTCCGCGCTCCAAGCAGAATGTCCTCAGAGAGGCGCCTTCACAACATGTTGTCTTGTTTGTCCACATATATACATTGGCAGGAAGGCCAGTGTGGTATAGTGATTTGAGCATTGGACTATGACTCTAGAGATCAGGGTTTGATTCCCCGCTTGGCCATGGAAACCCACTGGATGATCCTGGGTGAGTTACACACTCTCAGCTCCAGAAAATCCTGTGATAAGGGTCACTTTCGGGTCACCACTGAGTCAGAAACAACCTGAAGGCACAAAACAACAAAATTACATTGGCAGGAATACTCTTGGTGACATACTTCTCATAACCTGGTGTTATGCATGAATTATGGTTGTTGTTTTTTAAGTTCACTGCACAAGGGGATTTCCAGCTCCTTCTGGTGTAATGCTCATATAACTCAGCTTCTAGAATCTGATAAAGAGGAATTGGGTTGTGCAGAGTTTCTTACTCCAGATGACAGCTCCTGCTCTGGCTAAGAGGAGCTGGTGGCTGAAGCAGCTGAGGGGCTTTCTTCTTGGCAGGATTTGATTGAAACTGAGGATACACCCCCATCCTTTGAAGTCTGGCAAAGACAGAAGGAAAAGCTTCATCAGAATCAATGGACGTTATCACACGGGGGTCTAAAGCAGTCCCATCCCTGC